CGTATATGGTTGGGTAGAATTGGATTGGATTGGATAGAATCGGATTAACTGAGAGGGGGTAGGTGAAGGGGGGGGGGGGAGCTGACAGGATACGAAAGGATCCGATTGAAAAGAGGGACTGGATAGGACCGCGAATAAAGCATGAGATTACGTCCCAAGGGGACTCGCCCATTCAACCGGATTGACGTCAATAATTCCCGAACATGACAACACACTACACATCCTGATACGAGAGAGTGGATGAGAATACGCTTGGGTGTGCACGCAATCTGATGATTATTGTGATGATGCCCTGTTCTTCGCGTCTTTGTTCGCTAAAGAGGAGACGACCAACGTTGCTGAGGGCATACTCACACGACCGAGCTCTGGACGTGATTGCAGTCAGATGCCTCCAGGTGTGCCCGTAATCGCAGTGAGATACATGTATAAAAGTGCTTGGGTGAGGAGTATGCCCTGAGACGATCCACGGTCGCAATCCGCGCGAGTCGACACGACGAAGCTAGGAAGAGCGCAGACCTAAGCCAAGCGGAAGAAAAAGGAGGGAAGGAAAGAGGAGGGGGGGGGGTGGAAGGGGGGGGACCGGGGGGGAGAACAAGGGAGATGCAAAGCCAAGCGGATAAAAGAGGAACCGAGCGGGCCGGAGCCGCGGGCCGAGCAGAGCGGCGCGGAGTTAAGCTGGGCTGCAAAGCCCCGGGCTGAACAGAGCGGATGTGTGGAGCGCCCGGATCGGCGCCAAGCAAAGCTAAAAAGAGCGATCGGAGAAGAGACAAGCGGATCCAAGCGGAAGGGGAAAAGAGCGAGCGCAGCGGAGCAGAGCCTGGCCGAGTCGATCGGAGTTCAGATAAGCGGCGCGCAGATGAGCGAAGCGGCAGAGTCGAGCAGCGCAGCTGACTGGAGCGGAGCCCACTGAGCAGATCGGGGTAAAGCGCGGCGGAGCCGACCGCAGTAGAGCGCAGCTCAGCGCTGGCGAGCGGAGCCCTGCCGAACCCTGGGCACTGCTGATGACGTGTCGAAAGCTGTCCATCGCAAGCGTGTCTATTAGAACTGGTGTACGGATGATTTTATAGCGTGCTTTGCCCTCTCTCTCTCTCTCTCTCTCTCTCTCTCTCTCTCTCTCTCTCTCTCTCTCTCTCTCTCTCTCTCTCTCTCTCTCTCTCTC